GTGTGCGTGTGCGTGTGCGTGCCTCGCTATTTGACTATTCAGGCATGCGTCAACCCTCCCAGCTGGAGGGGTACCTGGGGACGTGTGTCCTCCGTGAGAGCCCGCGTGCCAATGCACTAGGTATGTTGCAACATGGGCGCACACACAAATACTCACACACACACACTGTAGAGGACTTTGCTTTGGCATTAATTAATTGTGTGGAAACTCAGTATAGCATTACTTACGGTGATGTCAAACCTGATCCTTACAGCCTTTCTCCTTGTTTGTACCTGTTTCTTGTAATGAGATTATACAGATTAATACACAAAGATAAACACACAGTCACTTTTTGAGAAACTTTCCTTTATACTCAGACTGTGACCTTAACTGCCGTTAACAACCAGACTTTCCAAAAACTGAATCACAATTATAATCTTGATCCAAAAACCAACAACAGTCATTTTAAAGTCACAATTAAAACAAAAAAAAAATCGCTCTGTTAACTTTAACCCACAGGCTACACGTGGAAATCTCCATCTCAGTCACAACTAAACTTAGAGTTCCTTTACAATTTGAGAATCAATCTAAATGATTTATGCTTGTCTTTTAAAAAAAGCAATAATTACTACACAGTTGTGTTTTTTCTTTGTATGATACTCTCTGAGGACTTCGAATCCTGATAAGAACCTAACCACAGATGTGTACGCACACAGAGAAGCAGCGATAGCATCTCAGGATGTACTCGTACACACTCAGATAAACTCACACGCGCGCACGCCATGTTAGCCAAACCTCAGAAGCAAAAACTTTGGCACATGAGCCTCAGGTGCCCACCACATGCCCGTGGCAAAACCTCCTGCCCCAGTCCAACCTCAGTATTTATGATGGGCTGTTGTATGTGGCCACAAATGGCAGCAAGAGAAAAAACACTGGTGAACTGCCAAGCATGAAGGCTGCGAGAGAGAGAGGGGCGGGGGGCACAGCAACCCTTTGTGTTTTGAAAGCAGTGTCTTATGTGACTCTAAATTCACTTCAGCACATCATGTTCAGTGAGTAGCTCTAGCCTGAAGTCAAGGGGAACAAGTACCTGGTCACAGGTACTCTCTGTCAGCTGAAGTGGGTGCCAGCGAGTGAGCGCAGGGAAGGAAACAGGAGCAGGAGTTGGGTCAGTGTCTCTCTCTCTTTCTCGTTCCCTCTTTCTCTCGCTCTCTCTCTCACTCCCAGTCACAAACACACACTCCCTCCCTCCCTCAGCCCACATCCCATTCCCATTGTGTGTTTAATCCGGGGCTCTTTTGTGGCAGGATTCCACACGAGGACTCCCGCTTCTGTGGCAGCCTTTTTCTCCCAGGGCCTGCCATGCTCTTCTGTCACCCCTTCTCTTTTCAATTTGCATGGAAATGCCTCCATGTGCCTGTGTGTTTGTGTGTTGCGAGTATGCCCCCCAGCAGTCTGTGTGAGCGAGCATATGCACACTACGCACATACACACATTCACATATGAGTGAAAAGGCACACCATACCATCAGAGCCAGGGAATGCCAGGGATTATGGAAAGAGATGTGATTATTACCAAGATTTTTATTTTTTGTTGTCCCCCCCCCCTCCACATCATTTGTTTTCGACAAACACTCAATAGACCCGTCTTGGCCGGGTGTTTTGTGCTTGCTGACAGTTAAGAAACAGGCAGCTCAAACACACGATTATTGTGGGTATTTTTGGAAAACATCCATGCACTTAATCTTTCATCTGCTGAAAAATTCAGCTTGTTGAAGACCCCCCCCCAAAACCACCCCTTCCCTTAACAGCAATTTATGCTTTTCACATTCTCATACGATGCTTTTCTGTGGGATGTGGAGGCCGCAGCACACTTCTGAGGTGTTAATGTTGCCATCCGTATGAATTCTTAAATACTGCCCCCTCACTCACTCGGCATAGTACATGCAAAGAACCTCAGCATATGTGAATTCCTTAAAGAGAGGCGGTAACCTGAAAACATTCAGCTGCTCCAAATGCTCATTCACTTCGTTGTGGGTAGCACTTTAAATGTTAAATCATTGTTTTCATCCTCTAAGCACATAATTTAAACCTGTCTTAAAATATTCCCCAGCAGCCATTATGGACTTAAAGATTCCCAAAGCAAGAGATGCTGCAAAAATCTCCAAAATGCCATTAAATGACGGCACATAGAATTTTTTTTTTCTCACAGACAGTTCGAGTCAAAACCGTTTCAGTATTTCAAACAGGGCAGTTCCTCAGGTTACTCGTTCTGTCCTCCAATGTACCCCTCCTTTCTCTCTTCGCTGTTCCAAACATTTTATATTTAAACCATCCTCCCCTAAATATGTCATATTGGCTAGCTTGTGTTCCTTATTTTAGAATTAAGGATGCAAAGAGAGAATCAGATTTAGCTGTATTGCTTCTGCCTCTGTGCATGCACATACACACAAACACGCACATATCATTTCTGTACCTACACACACACACACACAAGAATTTTTTTTTTCACATGATGAGGCCACAGACATTCTGTACTTAATTTCGAAGGCATGGTTAGTGGAAGACACAGGTCAAACACAATGAGGCTCTTTTATCTGCGTTTCCATCTTTTTCGTTTTTCTCTTTTTTTTACCCGGTCATTGGCAGGGAGGAAGAGGCCAGTGGAGAGTTCTGGTTAGGGGGAAGATTCTAACCTCCCGTTGCTTTTCGTTGGTTTCTTAGATATGTGCGAGCTTCACAAATGAATTCCCTTCTCATATAATGTAAACAGGAATGTAAGCTGACAGGCTTAGATTGACTCGAGGCAAACATTTGATCTGATGCAGGCCGGGTCTGTTTCATTTCTTCTGATTAGAGAGTATGACTATGGTGCCATTAAACTGATGTTCATGATTGTTAGATGGCTATCTGCTAGTTTTTCTTTTTACGTCATTCTCCGCGCCTGTTTTTTCCTCCTCTGTTTTCTTTGTGGAATTTAAGCCAATCATTTGTTCGTGTCTATTTTTCTTTGTCTTTCTCCAGCGGAAATGGACGGCCTGTCCGACCTCTCCCCACCTGGCTCTAACCACAACCACAACCACCTGAGTTTTTCCCAGCAGCAGCAGCCGATCCCCGGCAGCACAGCGGAGCAGACTCCTTCGTCGCCGGTGCCGCCGCTGCCTCATGCTCCGCCGCCGCACGGTGGTCAAACGGGAGGCCGACAGCCCCAGCTCCCCGGTCTGCATCACCCGGGCTTGGTGTCCACACCCATCAGTCCCCAGTTGGTCAACCAGCAGCTTGTGATGGCACAGATCCTCAACCAACAGTATGCAGTGAACCGGCTGCTGGCGCAGCAATCCCTGTCACAGCAGTACCTCAACCACCCACCTGTCAACCGCAGCTCCCACACCAAGCCTCTGGAGCCACAGGTGGCATCGAACACAGAGGTTTCCTCTGAGATTTACCAGTGGGTGAGGGACGAGCTAAAACGGGCCGGCATCTCACAGGCTGTCTTTGCCCGTGTGGCCTTCAACAGAACACAGGTGAGGAGATCGAATTGTAACAGAACTGACCTCAATCAGTGGGTTATATTTAAACTGGAAGAAAATTATAAAAAAACATACTGCATCTGCCTACATCATACAGTCTTCATTCATTTTTTATCAATACTGTGTATATTCAGATGTTAATAAAGTATTTAAAATATGGAAAAGGTACCTTTACATCCCCTTAAAGTTCTTTAGTTGTAAAATCAAGTGCACCGGTGAAATTCAGCCAAATACTCCCAACCAAAATCAAACCAAAAACATCAGCTTTTATCTCCCGTAGTAACACATCAAGTGTATATCTTACAACAACATCCTGTTTGAAAAGGAAGCGTATCACATTATCATTTCTACAATTTCACGAGATCTCTCTCGCTATGAAATGTTAGGAAAGGCTTCTGTATGAATCCACTGCTTATTCATAATTCTCACACACTCCAGTAGTCTAGCACCTCTGCTTCACTTGAAGACAGCTGGCAGGCTGCCATGTGAAAGACCCAGGTTCGGTCATGGCATCCGTTCTCTCTCTGCCAAAAATATGTGGTTTCACTGCAGAGTCAGAGGCCTAACAGACATATCAACAGACACACAGATGGCAGCGTTAAAGCCTTAAGACGTACTATCTGTGTTGGGGGGTTGACAACAAACCTCATTACCGCTCCATTTTCTTTGAAGTTCTATATGTGAAAAAGAAAAGGGGGGAAAAAGAGCGATAAGGATCTATTGGAGTTAGAACGTACAGCAACAAAAATTATGTGAGTGTTTGTGTTACTTACTCAGACAGTGGTGGTTTTGTGCAGCATGGCAGGCTCCCACACAAATAGAGCCTTATCAGTGGCTGATGTTAGGAATTAGTCCAACGTGCCTTCGGAGGATTATTTATTAGGTTTGTGTTTCTTCACAAAGTCTGCATTAATAAAAGGACAGGGGAGGGAGGTGTTGATTAGCAGGGTGAAGAGGCCTCTGTCAGTGCAGGAGGTGGATCAAAGGAGCAGAGGTCGCTTTTTTTTTAATGGGGTGGAAACTACTCAACCCAAAGAGACAGATAGAAATGGTTGATGGTGAAAACTGATAAGCATGTTCACACTGAAGAATGCAAACAGACACACACAGAGTTCAAGCATAAAAAGGATATACTGCTAATCTGTCCTCTGACAATGTGTATCCATCAAGTACACAGTCACACCAATAAAAATGGGTGGTTTGTTCACACATGTCTGCATACCACAGACCTGCATATTTTAAACATGACATATATGGCTGCATATATTTTAATAGTCACCGAAGAAACACTGCCAATCGCATATTGCAGTTCTGATCATTAGCCCGAGAGGACTCGAATGCTTTAAAAATAAATAAATAAAAGCACAAATCTGTTTTTCCCATCACTTTGTTTTATTACCAAATCACACGTATTGATGGTGAGAGAAGCGGAGCGATGGTTTGCACAGTGTGTGGCCAAGAGCTGATGAAAAGGCCCAATCACACGTCTCTGATAATGGAGTCATCGCCGTCTCATAATGATGGAATTGAGCGCTATTGAAAAGTAAACAGAGGATACACTGATTGCCCGCTGAACAAGACAAGATGTTTCAGGCGAGTAGCTCCGCTCTTATCCAAAGCAGTACACGACTCAAAGAATATGTCCAAGATGTGCTAAATACCACCCATGTGCGATGGGTTCAGAGGCCACACACAAGTTTCAGTAAAGTGGGTTTTTTTCCCGTCATCTCCGCAAATGATCATGGATGAAGTGCTTTAGACTGACAGAACAGTATTGTTGTACTTCCAGACAAAAGCCCTGCAGAGAGTCATGAGGATATGATGGGATGATTTTATAACATTAATAATGGACTGCTCTCTGTAGACAAAGCTCCTGCAAGTCTGTGAGAGGTGGAGACTCTCATATAATCAGTTGACTCAGAAAAGAAAGCGTGTGTGAGAGCGTCACAGCTCCATTGTCATTAGAGTCTCCATTTACACTTTACTGTCTTACTTAAGAACCCTCTAATGTGATTATTCTCCTTATTGGTTACCACCGTGACCCCTGCTTCACATCTATTTCCCGCTCTGGGAGCTTCTTACTCTCTCTTCCTCTTTCACTCTTCTTTGATGCTGCTCTCCGTCCACTGCTCTTTTGGCACCTTCTCGTTTCTTTTTCTTTTTTTCTTTTTTTTAAATATATATACTAAATGTGGTTTCATCATGTAGGGCTTACTGTCTGAGATCCTGCGTAAGGAGGAAGATCCCAAGACGGCGTCCCAGTCGTTACTGGTCAACCTGCGCGCCATGCAGAACTTCCTGCAGCTGCCGGAGGCCGAACGTGACCGCATCTATCAGGAGGAGCGGGAGCGCAGCCTCACGGCCGCCTCTGCAATGGGCTCCGCTCCGCTCATCAGCACCCCATCCAGCCGACCTGTACAGGTAAATTATTGTTTCTGTGGATGCTCTTCTGTGGTTATACAGCATGTTGTAATAACCTAAAAAAACTTGCTTAAGTAGAACAGGCCCCTGCTGCTTATAGTGGATGCTGTGGTGGTGGATGGGTTCAACCAGCAGACACACATGCAAAGTTATGGAGCTTAAATACGTCACCAAATTAGGACGGTGAACTTGACATATGATGTGAGATGAGGCTGTGCTCCATTGGTAGCAGAAGTGTGATGGATAAAACACAAAGCATCAGCAGTTGTAGTAAATACTTTGTCAACTTTGGGACCCAAAAATCATGTAGTATTGCCAACCGAACCCAGATGTTTATTGCCATTACCCTGCTTATTAAACTCCACAACTATTCTGTTGTGTGGCCAACTCAAAGAAAACACTTTCTGCTCCGAGTCAGAGTAATCTGAAATGAAGTGACAGTTCTTTAAAGTCCTGTGGCTGACAAAAAGCAAAGAAAATCAAATTTCTACACGGTTATAGTTTTCAGTGTGCACGCAAAACTCAGGGCTGATAAATCTACATTTCTACCCCATAAAGCGACATATGTGAAGGGATCTGTTCCTTTGAACTGTTGAGCCAGCTCTGCCGAGATGTTGTTGGTATTTCATGAATGTGTTTACACGCAGTGAGCGACGGGTAAAGGTATGCATGCGTGAGAGCAGGTTGGATTGAGCTGAGAATGTCTGTCCGTCCGTCTTTGTGTTGGGATCACAGACAGACAGACAGACAGACAGACGTGTGAAACAAACCTTGTGACGCGGGCGCTTTTTTAGAGGTGCTGCAAACCACACAAGGTCAAACAAAACGCTATTTCCTTTTTCTTTCTTCTTCAGAAGATTCAGTCAGTTGGTATAAAACATTTGCACAATGTTAAATATTTATACTGTACAAACACAGGCACCTCATGCACTCATTAGCACACTCTGTTTTCTGGGACAACAACAAGCGTGTGTACAAGAACAACCCCAACACATTGTTTCGTTGCATACTTCACATTCCCCTCTATTGTATCAGCCTCTCCAGAAACAAATAAAAGTCTGTCAGTGGTAAAGAGAACATACTTTACATTCTTCCTGCATGTAAATGAGTTGTGCATCATCCCCGCCCTCACCACACAGGTGAGAATGGTGCACAAATGATGGATAATTTTTTGTGCTAATTTTGACCTTTTACCATGCATTAGGCAGCATTAACAGCCCTCCCATTTCAAAAAAATAAAGCTCACTCGGTGATGACAAGCTCTGTGAAAGATCAAACATCGTTTAGTCAGTGCCTCTTTCAAAATCGCTTCGTACCACAGCACAACTTTGTACCCTCGCCGCAAATCAGTGTCCCTCATTTGAAAGGTATGTGGCAACTTTCTACCACTTAAGCCCATTTGAAGTGCGGTCAGCTGCATTTGGGAGGTGAGAGGGCCAGACAAAGGCTTCTTCTGTCCTGTCTCCGGTGAAAATTTGGCTTTTATTTAGGTGCGGAGGAGAGTGAGATAGAAGCCCCAGCCCACCCATCTTAAAAATCAATCTTCCCTCTGAAAAGGCTCAGCGTGGTGGCAGTGGCCGGCTGAAAAGAAAGAGTCGTACTGTGAAGCAGCGGTGCTGAACTTAAAGCAGGACCATTTTGCAGTTCACGGCTCATCTTTACAATCTCAGGCTGTGCCGGCACAGGACGGGAACTCAAAGCAGCAGAGTGAACTATCGCACAGGAATTTATTGATGTAAAAAAAGGAAAATAAAAGAAGGTTTTGGCAAAATAGTCTGCTTCTAGTGTTCCTGTTAGTGTCCTTAAAGCCAAGGCAGGAACGTGGAACTATGAAGTGCCTGTTAAGTTCATACCAGGCTTATCTTAGCATATCTGCAGTGAGCTCACAGAGCTGCAGAGGCACATAACGAAACAAAATAAAACAGAAATAAATCTCCAAGGCGGAGAATAAAGGCAGTGGCTACAGCATGGTGTAGAAAATTCAAATCCTGCTTTCTGATTTTTATTTTCACATCACTCAAAATACTGTTGGCACATCAGTACAATATCTCAAGGCCTAATATGCTTCACCTGTATGACTTAAACCAATTGACATTTATCATATAGACCTGTTTTCTGTCCTTCCTCTCACACGCACACACAGATTTGCACACTCATACACCTGGCCATCTGCCAGCCTCTCCTATGAAGCAATGCGGTGTGAATTTAAGCACATAAATCAGACAGGGTGGCAATTGAGCCTGAGACAGAGGAGGGTTTTTATTGGCCTCATAAAAACAGATGCAGAGGTATGTTTCTCTCACATGTACCGATGGCTCGGCTCGACTCTCCCAAAGCCAGTTAGTGCATGTCTCTGCCTTAACAATTTGCTTGACACGGTACCCTCCTGCTCCCGCTGACAAGCCCGTGTCGAGCTGTCATAAAACAGGATAAAAGGCCCAGAAATTCTCAGACATTCCACTTTCACCACAAATTTCAGAGATTGTTTTTTAACACATAAAGGAGCTCGTATTAGGTGTCTAGACAAATACTTGAATATATATGTTTTTTGATCACCAGTTCCATCGTGAGATGGTAGCTGTTGGTGTTATTATGGTTTATTTGAATGCCATTTACTTGTACCCACACCCAACCCTGTCGATGGTTCCTTTCAAAAAGACTCGTATGGAATGATTCATATGCTAATGGTTCTTGGGTAATGCTTTTATTAGGATACTTGTTACCTTGTCAAAGGATTTTCGTCAAGATGCAACAAGCCGCTGAATGAAGATGATTTGATTTCACTTGACTTACATTTATTTTTTAATCACCGGCTTGACATAAGAATAATAACGTTTCACACAACACATCTAAGTGTTTTTGAGCAAAGTAAGGCTGGCGCTGTGTGTGGGTGAAATCTACACTCGAGCGCGCGGGTGTGTGTGTAAGAGTTGGCTGCATGCATGATCATGTGTTCAGACAAATTCCCTTTATTATTATTTTTTCTTATGTGAGCCTGAACAAATATGGTTGTGTTGTGTTCTAGCCCCGAAGGGAAGACTGTAACAGCGTAAGGCCGGAGGATTGGAATCCCCGAATCCCAGTGGGCATTTCACCTGTGAGCAAACAACTTCACTCCTTCACTTCCCCAACCCCAGCACTGCCAACTGAGCAGATACATTCTCATTGAAAATACAAGTCACTCTCATTGACAACAATATCCCTATGTCAGTGCAATTTTAGTGTTTTCTATGTTTATGAAGCTGGAAAGTTATTTTTCAAGCGCGAGGCAAATATTAATTTCTCTGTCTATCAGCGCAAAGTGTTATCAGAAAGTCTGGAACAATAAAGTTAAATTACATTACATTACTCTGTTGCAGTATTTAGTAAACCAACTGTCACACAACACTAATCAAAAAAAATCTTCAGACAGAGTAGAGAGTCCAGGTCCTACACATGCAATCTAAACCTGCCAAATACAAATAGAATCTTATATCTAACAACATATTAGAGTTTAATAAAACCGGGAAAGCCTTTAAATCAAATGTTTGTTCTTTTTATTACCAGGTTAAACCGTCACCGCTGCCCAGCGAGTGGAACGGCAAGGCAGACAGCTGCATCCTCAACATCAACTCCACCATCTACGATGAGATCCAGCAGGAGATGAAGAGGGCCAAAGTGTCCCAGGCCTTGTTCGCAAAGGTGGCGGCCTCCAAGAGCCAGGTAGTGAAATACACACTAAAGAACTGTCGCAAATTGTCCTCTGTGTTTAGGTGGCATTATTTGTTAATTGGACCGTGCTTTCTCAAGTAGAGCTGTACTGATATGCCATAAATCCAAGCCTGAAAGTCCAGACGGGCATACGTAATTGTCCAATGTCCACACACGTGCAGACACAGCCTTTGTGTTTAAAGCCAGAAATTGAGGACCTTTTGTCTCTGATTGGTGAACTCTGGTGAATTTCCTTCAATGCGTGTGTGCAGGAAAACTGTACATCTCCATCAAAGGTTGGAGACGCCGCATAAGGAAACTTAGCTCAGTGTATCAGTGGAGCGATTTATCGTCATAATGACACATGTCTTCTTTATTGTGGGTTTGGAGTTTAGCAGTCGACACTGTTTCAACACCAAACAAACCTGTTTATATTAGCTCCACTCAGTTAGATGATGATGGGAGCCCCTGTCATCTTCTCACAAAGAGCGCAGAGCTCACACAACACAAGCTTGTGTGTGTTGGAAACAGAGGGTGAAAACATAGCGCCAGTTTAACTCTTTATTAAAAGCAATTAAAAATGTAGCACTGAGGACTTATTATTAAAGGTTTTCGTGTGTCTGTCGCAGGCAGAGTTGGGAAGATTTCCACAATTGTGCTTGATGAAGAAGATGGTGGGGGGGAGAAATAGATCACCAAGGGCGGAATAATCTTGAAATATCTGCAAAGGCTTTATTTTTTTCTTGCTGATTAGGATGATTATAGCCCCAGATAGCTTTGTTTTACCAAATTGCAGTTTGATGCACAAACCACTGTTTTTGTTAAGGAGTTCAAAGACTCCTTGGAAGGATAGAGAAAAGGGGGAGAGTGAGGCGGTCGCAGTATTAACTCGCTCATGTCTCTCTCTTCTCAAATGACGGTTTGTCTGGGAACAGGTTTCCATCATGCTGTCTCCACCTCCCTCCCATCTCTCTGTCTTGCCCCTCTACCTCTCTCGTTCCCCCGATTTCTGCCTCTCTTTCACGTTCCATTCATGGCAGGCGGGTGTGAATGTGAATTGAGCAGCAGATAAGAAGTGTGCTAATTATGCCTCTGAAAAGGGGCCTGGGAGAGCACTTATCTCTGGCTCTATCTCGTAATGGGCGCTCCCCGGGCAGCTGGTCCTCCCCCCTTACTACCCAGCCGGCATTGCCACATCTACCAGCACCGCCAGGCCAGCGGCTGCTCCTCCCCAGCAGCACCCACGTACTCTGAAAATCAGATGCTGGGACCCAGCTTTCCGCTGCAGTTTCCTCAAAAATATTCAAAAAAGAAATTGTCAATATATATTTTTTTAATTTAAAGCAGGACAGTGGGTTCATTGTGTTAGTTTCATGCTCTGGGCAGACAGTTCAAGCATTTTTATCTTACTATCCTCAATGCCAGCATCGCAGTCTGGATAAAAAAGGGTTTCCTTTCCCTCAATGCTGTGTATAGTATCACTGTCATACACAAAAGTAAATAAATATGGCACTTTGTGTAGGCAACCGCAGGGCTGCAATGATATGTTAAATGATAGATTAGCTAGTTTGCTCGTCAAACAATGAGTCAATCATTTTTGTCAGGTCTCGTTGTAAAGACTTGCGGAAAGAGTTAATCACCACAACTGAAATTTACAGACGTCCCTAAACGCCTCGCAAACAGGCAAACGGCTATGAAAGGTGATACACAGATATAGCGTTACTGTATTGAATAGAAGATGCCTATAAGGATACGATTACTTAACACAAACCATATGGAGCAAGTCTGAGCAGCAGAGCTAATGCTCACTGAGCCAGTTGGTAACTAATCAAATGTAATCTCGCCCTGTATTAATCACTTCCTCTGACATGCAGATAAGGAACAAAGTTGTATTTAGTGAGAACCTTTATTACCATCTTTGTACTCAATTTTACTGCAGTTTTTCGTACAGATTGAAAGTATCCTTGTGGCTGGGAGTGATGAAGCTGCAGTTTACCAATATTCTCTAAATGCCTCACAGACAGGCGATCGGTAGATGTGAAAGTGTAATAGAAGGCAGCTCTTAGTCAAAATACAAAGACTTGACACTGCACTAAATCAGGTCTCTAGCAATACACCCGAAGCAGGTGAACAATTGTCAAGAAATGAGAACAAACCCTCCCGCTACCCACACACACACACACACACACACACAAGCCCGTTCAGCTATCTTAGTGAGGACCTTCATTGACATAATGGTTTCCCTAGCCCCTTACCCTAGCCATTAAAAATGAATGCCTAACCCTAACCCTAAACCTAACCATAACCTAATTGTAACCCTGACACTAAAACCACATTTTGAGCCTCAAAAAGGCTTCAAACTTGTGAGGACCGGTGTGTGTGTCCTCACAAGTGACTTTTGGTTCTCACAAGTATAGTAGAATGCAGATTTCGGTCCTCACAAAGATAGCTAGACAGGAACACACACACAGATTCCTAAATAGATAAGAACCAAGCAGACGTCCTGTTCTCTTCCTCAGTGCGTCACCTTGGTTCCTGGGAAATTATGACGGCCATATTTTTCAAAAGATTGTTGCCGATTTAACAAAACCAAGTGATTAGTCAATATAATAGTTATTGATTAATGATGAAAATATTAGTAGATTTTGAACTATTAAACATGAAATATCATATCCAGTAAAAGTGTGCTGCCTTTATGCTAACTGATATAGAGGCAAATCTTAAACTTGAAAGCCAGGTCAGAGCTGCTGTAAGATCTAGCTTTTTTCATTTGAGGGAATTAGCCAAAATAAAGCCTATCTTATCGAAACAGCATTTTGAGACAGTAATCCATGCCTTTGTTACTTCTAGGCTGGATTATTGTAACGCACTTTTTTTTGGGGGTTAGTGATGCGTCCATTAGGCGCCTGCAGGTTGTGCAAAATGCTGCAGCACGTCTTTTAACTGGAACAAAAAAGTTTGAGCACATTACCCCAATTTTAATTTCACTCCACTGGCTACCTGTACATTTTAGGATTGTTTTTAAAATTCTCTTATTTGCTTTTAAATCTCTTAATGGCCTGGCCCCCCCCTACCTCTCGGAGCTACTACAACCATATACACCTCCCCGTTCCCTTAGGTCCGCCAATCAGCAGCTCCTTAAGGTACCAAAAACTAAGTATAAATCTAAAGGTGATCGTGCTTTTGCTGTAGTTGCTCCAAAGTTGTGGAATGATCTACCCTTGCATGTTAGGCAGGCCTCTTCTCTCTCTGAATTTAAAAGTCTTCTTAAAACATATTTATTCGCTGAAGCCTTTGGCATTGATTAGAGGGGTTGACTCAATTTGTTTTGACATGTTTTAATTTATTTTAGTTTTTTAGTTATTTATTTTATCTTATCTCATTTTAATTTGCTTTTAGCATGTACAGCACTTTGTGAACTCTGGTTTTATGTTAAAGTGCTTTATAAATAAAGGTGGTATGGTATGATATGGTATGATAAAAGATGGCACTAGTTTTATTTTAACCAGAAAAAATCATTTTAAAATGTGGTGGTTTGTTGTAGAACACATACCCACAATATGCTCGTTAGTGATTAGCAGTGATTTGTTGTCTCTTTAGTCATACTACATATTATTGGCTGCAGTGGTTACTCATTTTTAAAAGAGGTGTTGCTTTAAAAACATTTTTTAGGTTTTTAAAATGCTAGTAAAATGCTTGTCTAAATCAGTGAGAGGAACAGCTGAATGTATCCATTTATAATGTTCAAAATCATCACTTAAGCTTAGGTCAAGAGAGGTTTTCAGCCTTGCAGGGGGAAAAAAAATAACCATCCGAGCCGTGGGTAGAGCACCATGCCAGCAGAGACTGCTGGTACTGTGGTTGGTGATGAGGATGGAGGATGGGCTAGACTGGCAGGATGCCCATATGGGGTCCAGGGAAATAATCATGGGGGGAGGGGAAGGAAGAGGCCTCATCACTGAAACTGGCACTGTCCTGTCTGCTTGGTTTGCATTTCAAACTCTGCCTGTTCAGCTCAGCTTAGGGTTTCCCAGTATGTTTACATAAGCACGGGACCAGGTGACTGGGACACATGCGGGTAGGTGCACACCACTTGGTGTATTTAGAGTATCTGAGACAGCCGAGAAAATGAGAACAGATCTGACAATCTTTAAGGAGAGAAAGATGGGAGATGGTGACCTGATGGAGGCCACGGGCAGCAATACTTTGAGTAGAAAAGTTAACCCGAGCCTGCTCATTGGTTCACGCTCCACTGAGCGTGCGGTTAGGTGTGGAGCATGTACTGTGTGTTTTTCTGAGGAGGCACATTGAATGTGTGGACCAGTGCATGTATACTCCAGTGTGCATATTTATGTCGGCTGGTGTTTGGGGAGTTTTTGGAACGCAGCCATTCTGTCCTCTCTTAGGGCTCGTAACCACTGAAGGCCTCTGCCAGTCCTCACCCTCCACATGCACATATTCAACGTTGCGTTTCAATCACTCTTTTACTGCCACATATTCAGAGTAGTAACTATAGAGCAGTGACTCTAACCCGAGCCATAATACTTTATCAGATTAATGTTTGCTATTTACTTGAAGTCAGAGCATTCATTTTTTTAAGCAATCCACAAAGCCATTCTGATTTATTAGGATACATATTGTGTTTACTCTTTGATAAAATCGAAATCATTATTCATGATCCGTTCCTCAATGATTCAGACTGATCGAACGCTCCAAGAATGCTCCATCTCCATTTAGCTTCAGGAGATGTCAGACTTGGAGAAAACAACTGCGCGCTGCTGGTTCAAATCCAGCGTTGACACTGCCAGAAGTTGTGCTATTTGCCAAACGGCCCATTTCATTTTAGCCTGCAGAGGTGCAAGCTATGATCTGGATAGCCTGGAGTTGATGTCAACATTATTAACTGGCTCAGTAGGGCTAGTGCACTATCTAGCAAGCTGCAGTGCTTTGTTTTCATTCATGTTAACAGGGGAGGCTTGCTGTGTTGGCTAGCCTGACGGAGAGGGCAGCTA